AAGTACTCCAGAGTGTTGTTCAGCATGGGGGTGAGTAGAAAATGAAGGCTAATCATGTTTTGGGTGTACTATTCCTTTAAAGTTGTAGGGAAGCGGCTGTTCAAACCGTTGCATTTCGGAATTTTCGCGAGTGGTGCCCGACTTTACACGAGTGAATAAAGTGAATCTGATTGGTCGATATTCAAGGGGGTGGGATTGTTGTGGCGGAAGGTTCTGAAGCAAGTTTGGTTGTGGCCGGTTTGTCAGAAGCATCTTGCTAACCAGTTAGCAACTTAGTGCTGCGAACTTAGTTGGTGACTTAGAAAAGACGCTGTCAAGGAACGCTATGGACAGCGGAAACATGCAAGAGGAGGAGAGTTTAGTGTCGGAGGTCGTGGATGAGTCTCCTCCGTCATCCATTTTTTATTTAGAGGAGGAAAGCGGGGACGAAGATGTTGTGGAAGAGGACGCCAGAGCGGCAGAAGCTTGGTTTGGTGTAGAAGGCTTCCAGCCATACATGTTTGAGCCCTTGCCTCGCAAAGCTGCCAGTTCTGTTAGCTCTATGCCTGCCGAAGACACAGACGTCCATCCTCGTGAACACTGGGACGGAACTCAAGGGGAAAGGAAATTATTCTTATTTCAACTGTTGCGTATATTAGCTGCAAAATATGAATCAAGATGCTATGACTGGAAAAATTTGATTGACAGATGACCTTTGATATGTGATTGGCCGAATTTAGGTGTACAAGCTGACGTATAACTAACTGGCCTGCATAAGATAACAAAAAAAACAAAACACAGATTTTAAGACAGGTTTTTTTTTTTTTTTTATAGAAATTTTCTACATTTTGGGATGACATGGTCTGATAAAGAATACATTTATATACATGTTTTAGCCAGAATAATTTGAAATTTAAATATGATTACCCCACGACTTTAATATCAGTTTATAACTTATGGTTTGTGTTATAACCTCAAAATATGATCTGGATGGTGCTTATTTTAATCATTTTACTCATATCCTTCTATTTTACCTTTAAAAATGAATATAAAGTGCATTAAAGGCACAATTTATCAATATTACCTTTTAAGGATATCCTAAGATTTTCATTTCGATTTCAATTTTAAGAACACCCTCAGAGGTGTTATGACTAAAAACTTATCAGAGAACAAGTTATAGGAAAGCACTTTCCAACTCTGTGAGAAATGATAAATAAGCTTTGTGCACTTGATAAGTTATCAACTAAAGGTTTATTTCCAATAGATTCATTAGTTAAAGAGAGAATTGCCTGAGAACAGTTTACAAATAATAAAACCGCAAAATTTCCCAGAATTTTTCACATAAGACCAATAAAAACATTTATTGAACAGAAATATTTTGTGGTTTATATAATTCTGGCAATGAAACTTCCCAGCTGTTGAGTAGACCAGGTGTTATCTAAAAATTCATGTCAAAAAAAAAAAAAAAAAAACAGGGCCAAAAAATATTTTTTTCTCTTTAATGAATAAAGAATAATAAAAATATATTTATCTATTGAATAAACCAATGTATATTATTAATATGGATTTATTTTTTTGACATTAAACATATATAGAAAAAATATCTACTGTAATTCAAAAGGAACTTATTCAAAAAATAAACATATCTAGTAATGACTTAAATGCTATATCTAATTATACAATTAGCAATAATCATTAGTTTAATCATTTTATGATACATGTTATTATTTAATAATCAATAAAATAAATAAATTGACCAATCAATTATTTAATGGAACATTTAATGCAGCATTCACATCGATTGTTGTATTATTTACCTTTATCAAATTTTGTCCTATTTTGCCCTCCATACACCTCAAGAGGTAAAATCAAAATGATTCTAAGAAAATAATGTTGTGATAACCTAATAAGGTTCTAAGGAGGTGGTTACTGACTGCAGCCCCCCAATTAGGAACCCCTGCAGCGGTTGCTAACTCTCTTTAAAAAAAGGGCGGAGCTTCAGCACCTGGCTGTTCACTAAGGGTTCTGTCCAAATACATAAAAAAAATGTACCTGTAAATAAAGGGTTTGAGGGGAAATCCAAAGGTGAGGAGCACGGTGAGGTGCTTCCAGAGCTGCAACACCAAGATGTGAAAATCAAGTTCCAATAATCTGGAGAAAAGTAAAGAGGAACCAGATTCCCTAAAAAGGTCCAATTAGAGTGTCCTCTGCTGATGGCAGCTTTTGCACCTTTTTCCAACGGATAATATGGAAAATACTTTTCTTGGCTTAAACTCCTTAATGAGGCCGTCACTGAATGCCGGGAATCTGTGAGCTGCGCTGATGCAGCTGAAGCATTCCTCTGTTACAATGTTCTTAATGTTCTTGTGGAAGTTTTGGGTTTCATTAGCTGTAAATCAGAACAATCAAATCTGCATATACGTTTCCCCCTTTAATTCAATTACCAAGAAATAGGAACTTTTCAATGATACTGCAATTTATTACTCAACTGAATAAAACAACCAGATCCAGCAGCTCCTCTATTTTAAAAACAAGCTGACAACGGTTTGGTCGCCAGAAAACGATTTTCAAGTTGCAATTAAAAGAAAAACGGACCTGTGTTTCAAAATAAAATAATGAAAACAAACTGCTAAGTCAAATAAAACTACCTTCCCCCTGCTAAAGACCATTTAATATAAAAACCCCAAGATATATATACCCCCTCACATAGCACTTCTGGTGAACATCAGCAAAATAAAAGCACCTTTCTTTTGAAGTTTTCAATTTTTAAAGAATAAATCCAAACTACTGGCTTCCTGGGCCAAAAAAAACAATACATCACTTTTTTTCAATGCAGCATAAAATAAACACATATAAATCTTTAAATACAAATCTTACCTTGTTGGGGAAAAAAGAGAAAATTATAAATATCACCAAGCTAGTTGGTGAAATCCAAAATGACCAGAGGATTATTTCTGAGCCTCTTTTTCTTTATTTGACTCAATGTGTTGCTATAATATAGTTGAATTAACACGGAGAGAAAAAGACTGATAGCAGGAGAAGGCATGGAGCAGGCGGGACTCAGAAATCCCTCCCACCCCGTTCAATGCTCCTCTGCTCCCTCTCTCCCCTTCAGGCGCCGTTTTTCCTGCCTACTGCTAATCTGAAGCTTTAATGCAGTCAATTCTCCACTTCATTCATTATTTCCTGTTTCCACACAATTTAAATGCAGAAATCAAAACATTCTTTTTTTTGAACTCATTAAAATACAAACATTAGGCCTAAGATTATGAGCATGTGTCCAATGGTCTGATGGTTATCTGTTTACAGGTGAAACGGTTCTGACTCATTACGGTACAGAGTCTAGAGTGGGGCTCTATTATCTGGCACCAACAATCCTGTTTTTAAAATGTATTTTTGTATTTATTTATTTTTTTTAACATCAGGCCATTACTCCTGCAAAGGCAAGAAATTTCGGACATTGTATATTAACATGAGGAGTATGGATTGCAGCTAATGTTTTTTTACACGTCTGGTTTTGAGCCAACAGCTGCATTATGGGGGGAATTCTGTGTCATCATTGTTTCATTCAAAGAATTCATTTTACAAATGGAAATGTGAAAAAAAATGCAATCTAAAAAATTAAACTTTCAAAAATTAGTAATGAAAAAAAGGTTTTGCGATTAATTTTCGTGTTTTCTTAGCTTTTAGTTTTTCAAAATATTTTTATTGTATTTTAATAAAAAATGTAAAGAATTTTCTTTTTTACTGTTTTTTAATTAATTTATTTTTTTACATATTTTAGATTTTCATGTCTTTTTCAGACTGAGTTTTATGAATTTCATTCCTCTTAAACTGCATTTCACAGCTCCCAATTTCATTCTCTTCTCATTATTTTTTTTTTTTACTTTTTTGGAATCACATTCTCTTCACGTCTAACCCAAAACAAACACTCGCTCTATGCCAATAAAAATGTTGTTGCCAACATCCACGCAGACCAATAAAAATGCATCTACGCTCCTCACTCCAGAGGAAAACCCGCCCCCAGAAGTGGGCATGTTATTGTAAAACACAGTAAAAAAAATAAAATAAAAAAACTATTCAAAACGAATGCTATTGGTAAAGGTCGATCTGAAAAAGAGAAATTTGAAAAAAAGTTTGAAAATGAAGAAAAATTTGTAAAATAATTTTGAAAATTGTAAAATAAAAAAATAAATTGTGAGATTTTTTTGCTTGCAACATTAACGGAACGTACTTCACTCCATATGTTTCTGAGGCCTTGCTTCCTGTCAAAGTTCAGGTTATCCTGGTTGTGCACTTTTTTCTTTCATTTTTTTCCTTCCACTGAATAGACATTAATTCCCTGTGATGAAGTGCTCTGAAAACTTAGCATCTTAAACAATGACCTTTTGTGTCTTTTGACTGTCAAACTGCAGGCCAGTCCCATGACTGAAATCAAGAAAGGATGGTTCTTGCTTTGAACCCAACCATCCATCCATCCATTGTAAAAGAAGCATATTTTAAGCAAGGATGAAGAACCTTTGGGAATCAGTTGGAAATGTTAGTTTACATTTAGTTTTTTTGTGTTTCCAATAAAAAAAAAAATTCCCATAAATTTTATCTGTAGATGGAAGAATGTAAAGAAAGGAGTCAGATCTTCTAATTTCCAGACAGCTGTTCTCAACCCAACTCCTTGTCTATAAACTGCAGCAGGTGATACAAACAACGCCTGCTAAAGCTAAGTCAGCTTAAGGGACACAAGAAGGTAACAACTTGATACTGAGACAATGGGGGAGTATGAAATGCTTGGGATATATTTCTGTAAAAGTAGTTTATATGACGGGAAAGCTTGTGACAACTCAGAGCAGCTTCATTTGCAAACATTTATTCAGCAAAAAATAAATAAATACAATCAAAATGGAAATTAATTACACACAGGAAATATTGCAGTACATTCTGTAAAATGTTTAAACACCAAGAGAGGTCAAACTCAACCAGTGTGTCAGAGTGTAGTGAATGCAAACAGATGATGAAGTGCTTACCTCTCGGAGCTGAACCCTCACTTTGTTGATGGCTTTCAACCAACGAACTCTAGATGGGGAGAAAGGCAACGCCGGGCCTCCATCATGGAATCTATGATGAAGAGGCAGCATCATCATCACAACCATTCCACCTTCAGTTTAAGACAAACCGACTGCAACTGTCAACAAAATCGTTACCTTTGGGGTTTAGATGCTTCTTTTTCCGATGCGTCGCTCTTTAAATCCCGTATTAATCCAGGGCACTGGACATCCTCGTCCTTCTTACTGCCGGTTGAGTGCCCGTTGGTGGGGAGATGTCCAGTGGGGCGAGGTTGGCGGTTAGTGGAGGGATGTAAGCCGATACTGTGGTAGGAGTGGAAAGACTCTTCCAGTTCAGACCCTCCAGTGCTCTCATGGCCAGTCTCACTCAGCTGTGAGCTAGTCTGGCTCAGGTTCCCCGATGACCCGTAACGATTACTTTCCTCTGGACTACAGATGTAGAAAAAGGTATGAAAAATATTCAGAAAATGACATTTGTAATTTTTCTTTCTCTAAAACTAATCAGATTAGCAGGGGTTGTTAAATTATAGTAGTTTGATGTTTAATATCTAAATCTTAAAACAATTCAACTTACTTATAAATTCCACTTACCTGCTAAAAGCCTTGTGCATAAAAAGTGAAACTTTAACAACTATATTTTTTTAAGGACCAGCTGCCTTAAATGAGATACCCAACCTTGCTGCTGTGGGTTGGAAAAATGAAACATTATATTGCATTAATACCGCACTGTTATTGCGGTGAAAATAATTAAAGGTTTGTAAACAATCTAAATAAATAAAAGATTATTTCATGATAATTAAATCTGCTTATTTTCTTGCTGATTTTTAAGTAGACAATTCCAGAAAAAGTGCTGAAGCACAAATGGGTACAGAAATATGCAGAGATAATCTGCTCAAAGTCATCACACCTATTTCATTTAAGAATAGACATAATTTTTTTGGGATAAAACACAGATGAAGCACAATAAAGAGGGCAGCAGAACATCAAGTTGGAAGCAGGTATTTATGTACACCTTATAAAAAGACAGTCCAACATTAAATAAGACTTTAATATTTTAGATCAGTTAGGAGTAAAAAAATATGATTTACTACCTGCCAGAATAATGTGAGAAAAATATGAAGCTCAAATTAAGCTAAAATGGGGTCAAAATTACTTTAAAAATAAATATAAAGGAAAAAACGAAGTCTGAAAGCAATAGCCAGGAAGTTAAAGATTGGATCACAAATGGGTCTCAAAGTGGCTTAAGTACAAAGTCGGTGTTTTGTAAAGACTTAAAGTACTGATCTCAGTTTTACTAAAACATTCTTTGCAAAGCTGTTATTTATCTTATTTGTTTAAGTAATATGCCTGAACAATTTGGGTAAAATCCCAGCAAACTATTGTAGGAACCCAAAACCTTCAATCAAAAAAGGTCACCTTAGACAACTATTCTACCAAATACTTAATCAATACCAATACTAGAAGACTGCAACCATATATACTTAAACTTCTGGGTTTAAATAAAATGAAAACAAAACAAAAGAAATAATCCTATTATTCTGGCATTTAGCAACCATTATAATAGCAGACCCCAAACAAGAAGTCTGATTTAATGTCAGAAAGTCAGGGAGAAAATACTACACACTCTTACTGTGAAAACAGTTTCAAATCAGAACTCCAATATCAAACTATTGTCTTAACAGTCTTGACAAAACAGCAATGGGATTGTCAAATACAGGAATAAATCAATCCTAATCATTTCCCATCAGTCCTCTTATTCCATACATTCACATATAGAATAAAATAATTTGGAGTTCTGTTTTGAGAGGATAGAAGAAAGTGTACTAATCTAGAGACAATGGACTGTAGAGCTGGACAGGGAATACATTCTCATAAGCTGTCAATGCAGCATAATTGGTAAAGGGGGTACCACTTATTATGCTTTTACTAGCCTTTTCTCAATCAATAGATCCATCTTGGATTGGTTGTCCAGCTGCACTCCTGCGGCAGAACCTGCAGAGGGGTCTGTTTCTACAAGCCTTTCCTTGTCCATTAGGGTCTGGGATGCTGAAGGATCTACATCAGGAGTGGAGATGCAAATCTGTGGGTTTGCTAAGCCATCTGTAGAACCACCTACCAGTTCGGTTTTATGGGGATCAGCTGTTGAAGCCTTTAGTGCACTATTTGTTTGTTCGTTTGTGGGCTTGTTGATAGATTGGGGTTGAGAAGTTGTAACTTGGGAAGCTTTAGACTTGGGTGGCTCCGTCTGCCATGGAAAACTTATTTTTGCCCCAAATAATGATGCTGCTAGCTCTTGTTTCCCTGTAGCAGAGTTTTCTTCCTGAAATAGGGATCCAGAAAAGGATTTTAATCCTGAAAATAAGCCACTGCCGCCTTCGGTTGGAGGTGATGATGAAACTACGGATGGATTTGCGGGTGAAAATAACGATCCAAGAGATCTTCCTGTCTCAGCCTGGCCAGATATTAAACCCAAGAAGGATTTAGTTGGAGGCTGTTCAACTTTACAAGAAGACTCATCAGTTGGGGTAGCTGTAGTTTTACCTAACTGCAGAGGAATAGATTTCACGGTTTCATTACTGTTGGGTTCTTCTTTAATGAATATTGGTTTCTCGTGCATCACATGATTATCTGCAGTTGTTTCTTGCTCAATGGTTTCTATTTGGCTGGTAAGGTCTTTTGAAATATGGATTGACTCACTTGCAACCCCAGAATCTTTGTGACAAGATGCTTCAGCAGCAAGTTCCTTACTGCTAATTACCTCTGCTTCAGTTGTTTCATGAGAATCACTCTCAGAGATACATGGCATAACCTCTGGTAAAACATTTTCATTTTCAAACTCTGAACCCAGTTTCGCAGCTGTGGTAGCAGTTTCAGCAGTTGCAGAGGTAGCAGTAATTAAAGATGCAACTTTTGCAGTTGTACCAGTACTGGTAGCTGTAGCTGTAGCAGTAGTTGTAGATGTAGCGGGAGTTGTAGTTGTAGTGGGAGCTGTAGTTGTAGCGGGAGCTGTAGTTGTAGCTGGAGCTGTAGCTATAGCAGGTGCTGGGGGAGTAGCACACTTTGGCTTAGCAGACTCGGATTCAGATTGTTTAGGTGGTTGCCTCAAACCACCAAACAGAGATCCACCTATGCCTCCCAGCAATGAAGCTCCAGTTTCTGTTCCTGTAGCCTGTCCAGCAGAGCCACCAAACATTCCTCCAAGCAGAGAACCACCTGCCTGGGAAGTCATTCCTGCCCCTGTTCCTCCAAACATCCCACCCAGCAAAGATCCACCACTTGAGGCAGTTGATGGTTTAGCAGCAGATCCTCCTCCAAACATGTCACCTAATAATGATCCTCCAGTAACGGGTGTTGTGGTCTTCAGGCCAGGCTGTGGAGTAGCTCCTTTAAAGAATCCCCCAAGTAAAGAGCCCCCTGTTTGGGGAGACGCTGACTGAATATTAGACCCTCCAAAAATCCCCCCTAACAGTGATGCCCCAGTTTGACCAGTAGAACCTGTTCCAAATGGCAAGTTCTTTTGCTGCTGCTGTGCCTGCTGAGGTACTTCGGAAGCAAGAGATGCTGGTTTGAACAATGAAGACATGAAGCCGGTTACAGCGTCAGTTGCTGAATCAATAGATGACTTTTCTGGTTCAGGCTGGGTCTGGACAGCAGGACTTACTGGCAAAGGCTCCACTGTTTCTGTTTCTACTTTATGTGGTGCACAATCTTGAGTTGCAGTACTTATAGGTTCAGATTGTGTTTTGGTGCAAAGTTCCAATTGTTTAGACTGATAATCTTCCATTGAAGAGGTTGGTTTTTCATTTCTTTGACAAACTAATTCATCTGTGATATTAGCGTCAGTTGTGGATACACTGATCTCAAGACTAGACTTCTTTTGTGGTTCCTTATGTTCAGTACATTTGGTAGAAGTATCATTTTCACCAGTTTCAACATACAACGATGGTTTGCTTTCAGAACCGTTTTGACTGGTTTCAGTAGGTGCACTAGCAGGAGCAGATCCACCAACTACTGAAAGCACAGCTTTACTAGAAGCAACATTAGTGCCATCTCCTGGTAAGGTGTCACCTGGAAAAGAGGAACCAGTGTTTGCTGGGGAGTGGGCAGTGTTGGCAGCTTGGGAAGATGATCCATCTAACACCCCTTCCAGTAAAGAACTTTTGTTTTGAGTTGCTGAATTGGACCCACTTGTCTGAGGCACTGTAGATGATGGTGCAGAGTTTCCAAAAAGTCCACCTAAAATAGAAGTCTGAGATCCAGCAAGCTGAGGACCAGATCCACCAAATAAGCCCCCAAGTAGTGATGGCCCTGTCTGTGGTCCTGTAGAATGAGGAATAGCACCACCAATCTTAGCAGGACTAACCTGGGGAACAGTTTGGGTAGCAGAGCCTCCAAATAAACCTCCAAGTAAAGATCCCCCAGTCTGTGAGGTGGTAGTTTGAGATGAAGACCCTCCAAACATTGCCCCCAACAGTGAGCCTACAAGCTGGGAGGAGGGCTCAGGGGAAGAACCTCCAAACATAGAGAATAATCCTTTGACTGGTGGCTCCTTGGAGCCTGAAGATGCTGGTAAAGATTCTGGAGGTAAAGGTCTTGTTTGGCTGCTGGGAGGTTCAGAGCTGGGTGTAGAAAATAAAGAAAGCAAACCTTTTCCCGGATCTTCTGAACTAAGTCCCACAGAATGAGGGGGAGGAGGGCCTGATCCAGTCAGAGTCGAAAATATACCAGGAGCTGAGGGTTCTGTAGCAGGTGCAGAATCCTTGGCTGCACTTCCTGAACTAGCTTGATTATTCATGCCAACACAATCTAATCTTAATGTTTCAGATGTAGCAACTATGGTCTCGTTCTTACTGGAGTTCTGGCTAGTTGAAGTAATGTCTTTTGGCATGGTAACATGCAGTTCAGTTGAAATATTGACGGATTTACTCCCTGAATCTGCTCTTTCTCGACAATGGCCACTAAAGTCAGATGTTTCTGATAATCCCTGTTTGGGTTCTTTTTGACCAACTAATGAGTTGGATGTTTCTTGTGCGGCTGACATAGTCGCTGGGGTAGAGGAAATGTTTGCACCAAAACCTGGTGTTGGGCCACTAAATAAGGAAAACAATTTTTTTCTCGGACTGTCATTCGAGCCAGATAAGCCTCCTAACAAACCTCCAAGAACAGAGGTGGCGGTCTGCTCTTGTGGTTGAGAGTGTTCTTGTGGCTTAGATTGTGTATGAGCATCCAGCTGTTGTTGAGTTTGTGACTGAGCAACTTTTTGCTGAGATGGAATGGTTGATGGCTGAGGCTGTTGATTGCTGGAATCACTGAACACTGAAAATAGTCCCTTCAGTGACCGTTCAGATGAACTTGTTGAACCAGGTACAATTCCCCCCAAAAAAGATTCTTTTTGAGGTTGAGACTGTTGGGTGCTTGTCCCACCAAACATGGATAGAAATCCTGTTGACGGAGGGTCTTTTAAAGGCAAGGTTGTCTTTTGTGATGTTTCAATGTCAGGCTTTGTATGGTTAGGTGGCTGGGGGGTGGTTGATCCTCCAAATATTGATAGCAATCCTTTACCAAATGTTTCTTGTTGAGGAGGTGGTCGAGGTGCACTTGATTGATGTGTTTGAGGTATGGGTTCTGGTTTAGGTGCGGCCTGTTGAGGACTTGACCCAGAAAACATTGAAAAGATAGTTTTACCAAATGATTCTTCCTGCGGCGCGCTAGCTTGTGTCTGTGATGTTGAGCTATCATTTGAGGATCCTACCAGGATATCTCCGATAGACAATCCAAAAAGTCCACCGGAAGCTTTAGTTTCTGTGTCCTGTTTTGTTTGCCCTTTAAGTGCTGGTTTGTTAGTTTCAGTACCTTTGGATAAATTAGGCGAGAAAACATCAGATATACTTTTACTTGGCTGAGATGTGCCGCATTGGTCAACTGTCTGCAGTTTTTCAATATCCTTTGATTTAGATGTAGATGAGAGTGAACCTTCTGTAACACTAGATCTCATTTGCTGTTTTTGTGTTGGCGGTGGGGAGGGCTCTTTACTAAATAAGCTACCGATTGATCCAAAGATATTTGACACACCTGTAGTCTCTTTATTTCCAGTGTTACTATCTGATAAGGAATTAGTACTCCCAGTCTTGCTTTGAAGATTAACAGATGACTGAGAATTTGTCTGACTATCTGGTTTAGTCTCATCCATGCCTACAGCAGACTTGAGAAAACTCACAAAGCCTCCCTGTGACTGTTCAGGTGTTATTTCAGCTTTTGTATCCAATGGCTTATCTGTTACAAGGATAGGCTGTGTTGGTTTATTAAGAGATTCTTTTGATGCAAAGGGTACGTTAAAATTGGGCTTTGTTGGGGGGGATGCTTGCTGTTCCATCGTAGTCTGACGTGAAAGTCTTGGTTTCTGTGAGGTCGTATTTGAAATTGTTAAGGGTTGAGTGCCTTCAGCAACTGAGGGAACTGTTGGTAAAATTCTACCACGTGATGTAGTTTGGCTCTGTATTTGTTTACTCTTTTCGATCTGGGTTACAACAGAAACAGAGTCTTCTTTAATAATCTTAGACTTAAGATTTTGGAGACCTGTTGATAGAATGTTTATAGTTTGTTTGCCCACAGCTTGATCTGAGTCCATATTCCCAGATTTTTTCAACTCCACTTGGGATGGTTTTGTCACAAAAGATATTATGGTGGAAATCTTTTTGACCTGCCGATTAGGCAATTCTTCAACTGAAGACACCCTTTTTCTCCAGTCATCCTCTGAAACATCATCTACATGTCTTACTGTCACAGCAGTAGAAGAACGCCGCCGTTGACTCGGTTGATAGCATTTGTAAAGACGCTGATGATGTGAATTGTCAGCAGAAGTAGAGTTTAAAGAAACAGAAACTTTCTGAGCAAGTAATTTTTTAACTTCATGGCTGTTCCAATAAAGGCTGGTGTGATCTCTTTTAGGACAAGAAAGATCAATAACATCTTGGCAGTAATCTGGATAGCCATAAGTAGGTTGTCTTGGGTCCATCCTCACTTTGTTTAACCTGTAGGATGTGCAATCCATCTGCTGTCCTTGAGACAGAAATGAATTTTCAAACATTTCAGAGAACTGCTCAAGATTTAAATTCATGATCTGGTTTCCTTTTCTATATGCAGCAGACAAATCCAAGGGAGCATTAAGAAGTTGAGGATCACCGTGGTTTTTGCCAGGAAGCCAAAGAAGTTCATCCTCATTGTAAAGTGGAATTTTAAAACCACAAACCAAAACCATTTCATTGTGCAACCAAGCACTGGGGAGACTATCTGGAGTATGGCCATTATCCCATGATTCACCTTCGGGTGTACAGGCATACACATATTCACCTGCTGCATCTGTAAGTAAAGCATAAATATATTCATGGTCTGTGTAAACAAAGTAGCCACAGTCCCCATCTTCTGCTGGCCACCACATTCCTTGCTCCAAAAGAGAAAGCCATTGCTGATACCATTCAGCATCTTCAAGGTACAGTGAGTCTTCTGTCTCACCAATTGCACCTGCTGAACAGTTACGGTTAGTATTATAGTGACTGTGGTGACTTATGTAATTCATGTCAGCATTTTGTATGTTTTCCCTTTCCATTGCATTCTGCCAGTTTGCTGAATAAGATAAGCTTGGTGCAGTTTCCTCATAATAACCTTCATGATAAAAGACCCCATTCAAGCTGTAAGAACTACCATCATTAAATGAATGTCTTCTCCCAAAATTTGCATTACCATGGTTAGTTGTTAAGTTTAGAGCAGCTTCCTTATTAAAGGGGCAGGTATTATTTCCTAAGTCATCATAACTGTTCCATAATTTTCTTTGGGGGTACAGGTATTCATTTCTTGGTCCTTCAACTGCATGTGATGCCATTTGTTTGTCATGGCAGGCAACATTTTGCCAAAGAGTATCATTCACTGACTGATTAATATCTGAATATCTACAATGAACTCTATATTCTGGCATACCTTCACAGTTTTGCTTGTACCCCTGATCTTCACCTTGAAGGTTGTAGTTTGAGGACTCATTCAGAAACTGCTGCCAAAGGGCGCTTTCACGGATCCACTGGTTCTCATCATATGAGGGACTTATCCCATACTCAGAAAAATTACTTTGGTAAAGGTTCTGATGTGCTCCCTCAAAGAAAGAAGGGAGGGTTTCACCTTTAAATGCCCCCGGGGTCATGACTGGAGAAACAGTACGGCTTTCCAAATGGTAGTGAATATTTCCTGTACTATAAGCCATTGGGTTATTTGATGAAAGTGAGTGAGAGTAGTATAACTGCGATAGATCGCCTGTGCTAAATGAGTAGTTTGTTGTCTGACTTTGAAGAGATCTTGCAAAAGCAGCTGATGTTCTCAGGTCTAAACTTCCATCATGAATTGCCACTGGTGTACTAAGTAAAGCATGTCTACTTTGTCCTGGATTCAGGTAGACAGGAGCTGATCTTTCCAACCTTTCATTTACAAAGTCTGTGGTAGTTCTTTTGATCAACTCTGAAGTTAAACCTGTTGTGTTGGTCAATGATGTCAGTTGCTCCGTACCCTTACCACTACTTTTTGTTTGACTATCACAGGGTTGAGCAAGGTTTTGAATCCTTTTATCTTTATCGATATTTTCTTGCAAGGAGGGTTGTTTTACATTGGGAAGAGAATGAAGTACACGGTTTTGGTGTGATAATGGCTTTGCGAATGGAGACATAGCGTCACTTGCTTGCATTGGTTTTTCTGCTGATTTTTGACAAGTCAGGTCTGTGCTTTCAGAGGATTTGGTTAACTTGTTGAACAACCCTGATATCACTCCTGATGGAGTTGTAGCCTCTATCTGTACTGGGGTATGATGGCTACCAGGTACTTTGACTTGATGATTTACTCGGGTCTCATGTGTGCTTGTCTGTGGCTTCTGCTGAATCCTATTTTCTGATGAAGATTTAAATAGTCCAGTGAATGGAATACTACTACTACGTTCTTGACCCGTTTCTGTCGTATTATTTTGAGGTGGACTTTGGCTAGAAATTCTAAAATCTTTTTGTCTTAGCTGTTCATGACTGGATTTAGTGAGGGGAATTTCATGCTGCTGTGCAGATGGTTGATTTTGTTTATCTATCCTCTCAGCTGAAGTAAATTTGAAAAGACCAGAGAAAAGTCCCCCTTGTTGTAATGGTTTCTGAAGTGGAACAGTTTGTTGTCGAGTAAAGCCTGGTTTATAGGTTTCTTGAACTTTTTCTTGCTGGCTCATTGTTCTGTTCTTCATACCCCCAAGAAGTCCTTGAGTTTTCTGTGCATCACTGGTTTGCTGGTGTTGATCACCATCTAGCTGAGGAGTTGCTTGCATATTCTCGGTTGAGGCCAATTTAAGGAAGCCAGAAAGTAAGCTTTTTGGTTTAGGATGTGTTTGCCGAGTTTCACCATATGTCTGCTGCTGCCCAGGATTACTGCCACTTATTACCCTTGGCTTTTCTGCTTCTGCAGTGTTCTGATTTTGTTGTATATTTTCTGTTGATGAAAATTTCAATAGCCCTGACAGAAGGCCACCTCTCTGTGGAGTGGTACAACTTTGTTGTGGAGGTGGATTGCTTGCCTGCTGCGGCAAACTGCAAGTCATGTCACTAGTAGACCCAAAATTCAGTAGTCCAGATAGCAGTCCTTGTTTGTGTTGATTAGAGTCCATTTGATGAATGCCTTCGACTGAGCTGCGTCTCAAAGGGGTTGTGCTGAAATGCTGTGATCCAGGCTGACTGGGGCTTTGAGACTGTGTTCCATGAGGAGCTCTTGTTGGTTTCTGATTTGAGGTATGTTGTTGGTCATTTGGCACTCTAGACTTCTGGTTTGAACCAGCAGGATTGGAGGAGGGATCAAACATGCTAGAAAACCAGCCCTTTTCAGTGTTTTGTTGTTGCATGGTAGAAGTAGAGTAGGCTGAAACTGGATTGTGACGTTCTTGTGGATAATTCTGTGCTGTCGCAGAGGCATCTGTGTCTTCAGTGGATGAAAACCCCAAAAATCCAGTAACTACTTTACCAGATTTGGGATTGACTGGGGGTTGGAAAGGTAGTTTAGTCGTACCACTTGCTGAGTGGTTCCCTACTGGTTTGCCTGGCTGGGGGTTCTCGTTAGCTCGAAACACTGGATATACTGCCACAGGGGGAGTGCTTTGAGGCACAATAGGAATGGCTGGTGGAATCAGGGAACTCAGTGATTTCCTAAAAGGGCTAAAAAACCCACTGTTTTGAGTCTGGAAGGTAGATCTTTGAGGTTCTGGAGCATTTTTATTTTGTTCTGAGCTCTCTGGATTTTGTTTCCAGCATAAATTCTCGTCATTTTCATGAGACGAACTTCCTAACCTGAGTGATTTCATATCATAATCATTGTCTCTCATTGACTGTTTACTTTGATAAATGGATTTATCAACCATAATTCTGTCTGGCTGAATATGTCCTTGGGAATATTTAGACTCTTCTTGCTTTGATTCAGCAGGGATACCACCTCCCCCACCTGAGAACAGCTTTAAAGGATTCAGTTTACCTAAGATCGAGTTTCCTGTCTCATTTTGGGGCTGAGTCAGGACCTCAGGTGAATGTTCTCCATTATTTCTTTGAGTTTTACCTCTTACGGCAGTTCCTGTTTCTTGAGCATCTGTTGTTTTGTTCTGTGGAGGCTGATAAGGCAGAGTGCTGAATGACTTTTTTGGAGAAGTTTCTACTGGAGATACAACTGCTACTGGAGCAGTGCTATTTGCCTTAGTGGGAATAAAAGACAGAAGCCGTGTTATTCCAGACTGCGCAGGTAGGGGAGATGATGGTTGGGGAGCTGAAGCAGGTTGTTTGAGGCCTCCTCCAACTTTGTCATTAATGGAGCAAAACAATGAGCTCATTGCATTTTTTACACCTGAAATACCCTGATCAGATTCAGCTTGGATTTGGGTTTCTCCTTTACAATCCTTTGAAACACTCTGCTCTTCTCCAAATGAATCCGTTCTATTACTACCTTGGGATGATAGCCTTGATTTGCTTGATTTAGGAAGGGATCCATATTTGCTAATTTCCTCTTCTTTTTCAGCAAGATATTCAGACACTGTTTCAACAAGACACTGCAGCTCATCCATCGGGTCAACATATTCATCGACCGGCTCCTCTACAGGGGAGAGTATTGCCTCAGAAGCCCATCCTCCTGTTTTAGATTTGCCACACTTCTTTTCCCGAAGTGTCTGGTCATAATCCGTGTAGCTCTCATACGAATGATGGTCCTTGCAAAGCCTTGCATTGTCTGAGTAGAAGTCTTCACCCACAAAGTCAATATAATGATCATCTTTAATAACGCCTGAAGGGTAGGGGGGATCCTTACCATTCTCAAATTCAAAGTCAAACCTTGCCCTCGGTCTACTATCATACCCTTTTTTATATGCTACATAATTCTCTAAAGTATTGTCAAGGTCGTTTTTGGCCCACATCCTTGTTTTGTAGAGAAGCCCGTCCTTGTGCGGCCTAAGGCAAGAAGAGGTTGTGAAATGCTCCTCTTCTTCCTGCATCTCTGCTACCCGTCGCAGAAACGGCTCCCCTTTTTTTTCCTGAAGCGGTGCAAAGTGAGAGACAGAGCTCTCTTCTCGCTGCTTATCAAGAAGTCCTCTCGGATCTGTTATTCTTTTCTTTCTCCGCCTGTCAATTGTGTCATACCCTTCGGGATATGTGGCAGCCCGCACTGTTTTGTGACTAACTGGCTCTCTTGCCGGCTGTGGGTAAGGTCTGCCCATTCGAAAGATTACGCTGTCTTCCTCTTCATCTAAGAAGTCACTCAGCCTGGGCTTTGATCGTCCTTTGTATTTGTTTTCCCACTCTTCAAACCCCATCCCAGAATCTACAGGTATAATTCTAACTCTTCCCTTCTGGTTTAAAGAGCTTTTAAAGGTAAAAGGAACAGTTTTAAAATAAAACATGGGTTTGGGAACAGTAAGGAAGACAAAAGGAAAGCAAATGGAAAAAAGAAAAAATTGAAGACAAAAAAAAGTTAGACAGTATGAATATTAAGAAGAAATGTACACAGGAAAACTGCATGCAATGATATAGAAATATAGAAGCATATTCCACCATTGTTGTGTATTTTATAGGTTCGTTATTCTGTTTTATGTTGGAAGAGATTAGGAGTCACTCTGTTTGCAAGAGCCTAAACTAGTTTAGACGTTGTCAAATCTCCAGAACAGCTGCCACATGTAACAGCTCCCTAAACCCTCTATTTCAATAGTCTCCATGGTGATGAAGCTAAACGACCAGCATATGACATTTAGTCCATAATTTTACAATTCCTAAAGAGAGCAGCCTGCATCAGCCGCTAACTTGCTCCCTGAGGGAGCGTCACAACGAGGCTTTCAGTTTACCAGATAATGAAAACCAAGAGCGAAAGCTTTTCAAACTACCAGAGTTTTAGCAACAGATTCTTAGAAGAAATGAAACAAAGACAAAGCTCTGGCTGCAGTCCCATCCTTTACCCCGGTTTTCTAAAGCAGAATTAGCCGGATCAGCTCGCTATCAGTGAGCACAGGCAGATTTGAGGCAGTCTCAGAATTTTATTAACCAATAGCATTTCTATCATTTTGTCCCATTCGCCATATCCTATGCCTTTTGAAGCAGAATCTTTTATATGAAGCCAGACTGGCAGAGGGCGATGACTGCCTGATTTGTTCCACTGTTAAAGGTAGAAGCGCTACATCTTAACCATTGCAGTGACTCTCTGTACTTTGGCAGCATTTCAATGGATTAGTATATCATTAAAAAGTTTGACGACTTTTATAGAAATGTTATGATCTACAAAACCACGGAAAAGGCTGCTGACTTTTGTTGAACAGACAATGATTGGTCACCACTATGCTGGCTATATCAGGTTACATCAATGGAAAGTTGAGTGGAAGAAAAAATGTTAATTCAAAAAGGGATAACATCCATGAGGAATGATCTGAAAGGAAGCCTATTTAAGAGTTGGAAAAAGAAAGACGAGATGTGAACTGTAGCTCAACTCAAGTATTTTAAGCCACACATTTAGGACTTTGAGAACTGTCCAATTCACTGTGTTAAGCGACGCCTGAGGCAGAAGTGTCTTACAAAGGCTAGGGAATAAAATGACTGGATTATTGCAGAGCAGTTTAGGCATTTAAAGTCTGAAGAAAAACAAGAGCCAATCTGCTGGAGGTCCACTCAGAGGTTTTTACAGGTAGTGATAATTTGGGGAGCCCTGCCATCTGCTGGTGTTTATCCACTGGTTCAACCAAGTCAGAAAAGAGGTTTAAACTAATATATAGAGGAAAATGAGTGACACCTGAGGGCTGGGATTGAACCTAAATTTCTTAACACCTCAGCAGACATTAATTCATGTAAATGGAGCCCCAACAAAGAATTGGCACATAGGATGTAAAATAAAAAATCATCTTCAGAAAGTCTACATTTATTAATTTAACATGCTGATAATTTTAAGGCTGCTGATGTTTTTTTCTCCTTCCACTCAACTTAACGCTCATGCAGTTTTCATCAGCACTGACCTTCAGTAGTTTACTGTGGAGGGAATTTTGTTTCATTGGGTTTTGTTGCAAACACATTTTGTAAATGGAGAGTTGAAAAACAAATGCAATTTAGGAATAAAACTTAGGAAAAAAAATGTTATCAAAAAGTTTTAAGAGTAAGATTTTATTTCAAATTAATTTTTTCTCCAAAATGATTTCTCATATTTTATTTTTTCAAGTGGTATTTTATTGAACACATTTTATATATTCCTTTTCTTTTTTAAACAAATTTCGTTTTTAGATTTAATTTTACAAACTAAAAATTTGAGTTTTACAGATCACATTCTCTCTACTTCAAGCCTAATATAAACGCTCCATCCTAATGCACAAAAAGAGCAATAAAAATGTTGCCAATGTGGAACCATATTTTCCCTCTGCCTATTTGTGAGATAAAATGTTTTGAGTTTGCCTGCCTGAATAGGAGTGCGTTCAGAGAAATCTTCTACCACCCTTTATGCTGTAATGTTTAAGGTAGGGGGGACAGAAAGCAGATGCCTCCCTACTCTAGACAAGGGTGAAGGGAAGGTCATAAGAGATAAGAATAAGTTCACACAGCCTCATTCATACCGTGAACAGAAGACAGTTGTTGTGGAATGTTTATCTGTCCAGTGAAAGAAATATCAACCTAACAGGGAGTAGCCCTGATGAACTCAAGTTGTTTTCCTGCAAATCTTCAGATCTTTATGCAGGGGGTGGGTTCGTTCCCCTGGGGGGAATGTGTGTTTGTAAGGCATAAATGTATGTACTAACATGTCTGAGTCAGAGAGAACTCTCTCTTCGTCCAAGGACGTTAAATAAATTTGAATAATATATCTTGTAAGAAATGTCTTCCCCTCAGTTTCCAAACTTCACACCAACATCCATGCAGACCAATAGAAATAGAGTCTCTGCCCTCCAGAAGCCTCAGGAGTGAAGTGGAAGTGATCTTTTAAATGCAATTTAGTAGACAGAATGTAATTTCTAAAACTCAATCTCAAAAACAGAATTTTTGTCTGTAAAGTTATTGTAGAAAAAAAATACAAATTAAAACAAAAAAAAACAAAGTTATTTTCAAAACTTTTTTTGAGTAAAACTTTTTTCAACACTTCATTTCAGTAATGGAACATAATCCATATTATTCTTTCAGTTCAACGAGTTTCATGTTAGCAGTCTTTCCCCTGAAAAGGGCATAAAATCACATTTCTTCTAAAATAATATCCTTCAGGTTTTTATCTTGTTTTAATTCTTTCAAGACCAAAACATTTTTTTTTGTCCTCTTCCAGTTGAAGCGATGAACAAGAAAATTAAAAAATAAAGTATGCTTACCTACATTTCTATAAATAATTACTTTTTGAACTAAATTAATAAATTATCCTTTATGTCATAATCTAATTTGCTAAGATTTAAATCAAAAACGCAGAAATTTGACGTCTTACAGAAAGTGAGCGATGATAATATTTTTTTGATCATCATGCAAACCAATTGTTTTAAAATCATAGCACAGGACTTAATTTTTTTGTGATTTTCTCTCACATTCGAATGTCTAAAAGAATCCCTCGCTGACTGAATGGGTGTTTTTCAGGGACACCGTTTATACCCAGCTCTACCTGCTTCCTCTCTGGTCCCTGTAGTCCAGATCCAAACTGTGGACAGAGTCGGTGCAGCAGTCCGGCAGCTGCTGCGGACGAGGCCCCATGGGGAACTGGTGCATGGAGGAGTTAGGCTGGGCCGTGGTGTGGTACCGCGGCGGCAGACTGTTGCTGGTCTCACTGCGGTAGTCGCTGTCCCTGTCGTCCACGGCACTGTCCTGGTCATCCAAAGCTGCAACAGGACGATAAACGATAAGAGAGGAAGACTTTCAGAAGCTCCACGTGTCTATATGTGAGAAAAAAGTCAGGAAGTGTTTTATTTGGACTTTTTTTAAAATCAAGTCTGAGGTGATGAAACGGGCTCAGCAAAGGAAAGTGTTTGGGGATGCGGACAAGCACATCTGAAAAGGTATGCGGGTCCGGTTGCCACCATGGAACAACGAATCAAACAGCAGGATATGTCGCCGACAGGCGGCGTCTGCGTTCATCTGCAAAGACTTTAACCTGTTTTTGATTTATAATAGCAGGGATGAATAAGGAACTGGTTGTTAAACAAGATTCTTAGATGCAACAATACCCAAAAAAAAAGGATTTAGGAGCAAATCTTTAACAAAAATGTAAAACAAATAAATAATAAAGGAGCTGTAATGGGTTACCAGGTAGCAGCCTGATGTAATCTAGCAGAGATTTTAAGCAGGGTAAACAGAGACCAGCATCACTCTACACTAAGGACCCTGTTTTATTAGAGGCAACAAATGTTTTAACTCAGTGTCCTCAGATGACTGAAGATGAGCTGAAGCAGAGCTTTTATCAGACAATATTAGACCGAAACTACCCGAACTTCTTAGTTTTACAGTATTTCAATCATTCTTAAGGCTTAAAGCTGCTAAAAGGGAAAAATTTTTATTAGTTTGGCTTTTATTTATGAAAAAAAAATATAAAAATTTAATTGAACTGTGAAAATTTGCCTCTATGTGCACCGAGGTATCATTTCTAGGGACGAACCAAGAATTTAACTGGTGACCAAAATGAATGACCAGGGACTGGCTGATGGGAAACTCTATTATATCAATTTTTAAATATTATAAAGATTTTATTTCTTTAAAACAACAAACAAGCAAAAAAAAAAAAAAAAAAACACAAATCTCTTTCCTGAGTTTGAAAAATAAATGTATTAAGAATTCTAAGCACAGATTTGAAAAGAATAACAAAATTAAAAGGGTGCATAAAATAGATTATCCCGACTTTTCTGTCCAGGATAATTACTAAACCATTAGAATAATAAAAAAACAAAATGACATGATAATAAACCAGCAGCTTGGTGGGGAATGAAAGGGTTAATGGGCATTAAGGAGCACAGCAAGGGATTATACTGGTTAGACTGCAGAAATGTTAGAAAACGTAAGAAAACCTTAGAAATTACATTTTAGGAATATTATGACATGCAAAAAGGGGTGAGGGTTGGCCAGGGGAAGAGGTCCATTAAGTTCTGTTACATACTCAGCGGCTCAGCCCATCCGAAAAAGTTGCCTGGTGAAAGTGCAAACATTACAAGTGAGAGATAAGTCCGACGGGACGCGGGCCGTGTGCACAGAAATTCAGAGTCTCTGTGCTGAAAAAGTGGAAAACTCATAAAAGGCTCAGTAAATTCTGAATATTATTAACTAATCTAATTTGTGCAAAATATCTGGAGTGTTTTAATACTGATATAAAAAAAATACAAAGTGCAGAAACAAGCAGGATTAGAAAGCTAAAACAAGAAGCAGAGTAGCTAAGGAAATGAGCTGGCTCCATCTAGAGGCAGAGAGGAGTACTGAGAGCAAAGACTCACAACACTGGGAGGGGGCACATTGCAGCGCGGCCCTCGGATTGTCCACATCCTGAAGGGGATACTACAAAGGAAAGCAGAAACAGAAACCAAACGTGAACGATGCAGCCAGTCTGTTCTTCTTAAATGTTGTCTATATTTCTAGAGCTTTCCTGCAGTTTAAGGTGGAACAGATTACATTTGTTTCAGAAGTTCAGTTAAAAACCTGTAAGTCTGTTCATATTAATTTATTACCAATAATGTGACAATCAATAAAAAAAAAGGTTTTAATATAAAAAAAAAAAAAACATTAGCATGTCAGGGAGAACATAGTTATAGAAAAGACGGCAAAACGTTCCTAAACAAGCAAGCTATTCACAGAAAGGAAACATGTCGCTAGAAAGCTGAGCGGAAGGAAAAAGTGGTAACCATGTGCTGTGGATGTTGCTTTGGAAGCAATCAGAACTGTTTTCCCTTTATCCAAGCACATCAATAGAAAATTGAGTGGAAGGAAAAAGTGTTTGCAACCAAGACAACCAATGCTGGAGTCAGAGCTATTTTCACATTCTGTATTATTTGTTGATTCAACTTCTAACATGGTCTACCAACTTTTTCTAATCACAGTAGCTTCATCTGGTCTGGTTCTGTTCGGCTGCGACTCCATACTGGAGGGAAATATAAGCTGAGATGCTGCCATTAACTAACCTGACTCCGCCAGATGGATTTGCTCCGCATATCCATCTGGAAACCTTCCGTTGAAGTAATTTTGGGAAGGGGCGAAAATACTGGTTAGCTGATTGGCCTATGTTGGTGATAGACGGGCCAAATAAACCAATCAGATCAACGAAGCATATGACGTACTAACAGCCAGGCTACTCTTGCCGAAACCAGTCGGGAGAAGAGCAAAAACATCTTTTCCTCTGAGAAAAGCCTCCAGAGCAGTGTTTTGCTCTTCTTTCAGTGAAGAAATACTCTGTAATTCCGATAAAACCTGCTCGATAGCCACGCTATCGCTAGTTTCATGGGCTGAAGCCGCCATGTTCTTTAGACTGAACTGTCGCGCTTCTCATTGCATCACACCTCAACCCGCCTCAAAGCCAACGCTGATTGGACGTTCGTTTGGTGAACGGCTCCAAATTTTCTTCAACGGAGAGTCTCCAGACTGATCTGCGAGTGAAACCTTGAAAGCTCGCGAGATCAGGATGTTCTCACGAGGCAAGCCATTAACCCCTATAATTAAAGATGATAGAGTTGAGCCTTTTTTTCAATGATTAGTCCTGTTTCTATTCTAGACATAGAGAAGAAGAAGAACTGTCTCAGATCTCATCTGCTTAACTGTTTTTTTTTTTCCATACAGAGCCACCGCTGGAGCTAGTTACCTTTTCTATCATAGAATGTATTTTAAGATCAGTGTTTCTTTGTTCATTCTGTATTTCTGTTTCTGCCTCCTTGAACCCCAGTCGGCCTCGGCAGAACGCCGCTCACACCGAGCCCGGTTCTGATTGAGGTTTGTTCCTGTTAAAAGGGAGTTTTCCTCTCCACTGTAACTGCATGCATGCTTGGTATCAGAATCAACAAAATGCAAGCATATATCCACCGTTACTACATGCTCATACTGGAGTTGTTAATCCTGAAAAGTCGATGACTAGATGCAAACGGCAGGTTTTCCCTTAGATTGAAAAGTTTTAACCAGCCTGACTGTTGTGAATTTGTGCTATACAAATAAACTGAAACTAACATGTGGTTTATCTATTTTATTAAAATAGATGGAAACCTCCAGCACCAAACACGCCTGAGTCTGCTGCAGGTTTCTTCCTGTTAAAAGGGAGTTTTTCCACTCCACTGTCGCTACATGCATGCTTGGGTGTGAGGGATTGCCTTCGAGTCAATGAGTTGATGCAATCGGCTGGTTTTCCTTAGATAAAAAATTGAATAAATCCGACTGGATGATCAGGTTGAATTGCAAAGGGCCTTGAGATGACATGTGATATGAATCGGCGCTATATAAGTAAACTAAATAAATAAACTGAATAAACTTTCCAAAATCAGAATCCAGACCAGAAACCAGAGATCTACACTGGAAGCTGGAACCTCTGACCATCAGTCAGCAATAAAAAAAAAACAATGTATCTGAGCTTCTTCTAAAAGACAGAAGCAACATTTTACCTCGTCGTGGATTCCCATGTTGATGCGTTCAAGCTTGCCGGTCCAATACTGAGCCTCATCTTCTGGTATATCTGTCGGTAAATCATTTACAAAAGCATTTCAGAAGGTTAACATTAAATATTCCTGTTGCTTGAACTTTCCAGACTCACTGAGGGAGTGCAGACATAAAGAACACCAACAGATCTACTCCACCTGAATGTGAAATAAAGTGGAATACATTGAAAGTGACAGGAGGTAGAAAAATAAGCATGTCTCCATCCGCGGTGTGTATGTGTGTGTGTACTGTATCCCATCGTTGCTGTTTTAAAGTGGGTTTAAGCTGCTCAGCTGGCAGATGCACATTAAAGGGCACAGGCACAAAGGCCAGGCCTTCAAAGAGACGCCGACCTGCACCTGGAATGGTGGCACATGGACATAATGAGACAAAGAGAGGATAAAAATGTCTCCCACGCAGCGGGGTGGGGTTAAGGAGCCCCTTCGTTTTAACTTTGATGTCTTCTGACCATCAGGCTGTGGCAGTTGCAGTGATTGCAGTACTAGCAGAGCAGCGGTCAGAGGTTTTCGAACCGACAACCAGGGCTCGACATTGGAATCAGACTGCATTTGATAGCAGAGCGTGTTTTTTTTCTTACCTTCTCAGCACTAAACTAAGCATTTTTTAAATCAAGCAGATTTCTTTTGGTAAAAAAATCAGTAAAAAAAACTTTAAAAAAAGAATTCTGTTCGACTTAAAAATATTTTAAAAAAATTTTAATAATTTTTAGCAAGAAAGGAGAGTTTAAGTCAGTCTGTCTTTGAAAGCACTGACTGTATGAACATTTTATAACACATTAAACGTCATCAAAGGGCAAAAATATTAAGTTCTAAAACATCTAACCTGCTTTATTCCTCTTTAATCATAAAGTAAAAACATCATCCTATCTACATAATTATATTGTTGCCCACGTTTCCAACCAAACTCGCCAACATGGTGCGGATTAGTGGTCCATGTTTTCAGATGTGTCGCCATTTTAATCTATTATATAGGTCGATCAAAATCAAACTTCTTATATTTCATTATACAAATTCCAATAACAGGAGAGAGATTTTAGATCATTGAAATTAAAGGAATAGTACACCCAAAACATGATTAGCCTTCATTTTCTACTCACCCCCATGCTGAACAACACTCTGGAGTACTTTTTTGATATCTCAAATGCATCTGGAGATCTGGGAGGCTTCTTGCTGTCTGCTGACATTCAAATAATGGAGGTCTATGGCGCCCGAGACAGAAAGGTCCATAAAAGTCCACAAAAACGTGTCAATATTCCTCCATACTGCTCGTCCAATGTAATCCAAGTGTCCTGAGTGGGTAGCATCCAGAATTTACTCGAAACGAAGTCATTTAGAATGTTTTTAGAGCATAAACAGTAGTGTATAGGATTTCCTAATAGCGCCCCCATGCGCGCTCACGATTCTACGGAAGCCGGCAGACCAAACCGGAAGAAAGTGCGCATTCAGCGTCTGGTCTGCCGATAATGCAAGCGTAGAAGAAGAAATGTGCTGTTTACCTGTGCAAAGAAAGAAACAACGAAAGAAAAATGTCTGAGGACTTCAGTGTTGAAGAAGAGCATGAGTTCTTTGCCGAGCTGAATGCGCTGGTTTGGTCTGCGGGCTTCCGTAGAATCGCGAGCGCGCATGGGGGCGCTATTAGGAAATCCTATACACTACTGTTTAGGCTCTAAAACGTTCTAAATGACTTCGTTTCGAGTAAATTCTGGATGCTACCCACTCAGGACACTTGGATTACATTGGACGAGCAGTATGGAGGAATATTGACAAGTTTTTGTGGACTTTTGTGGACCTTTCTGTCTCGGGCGCCATAGACCTCCATTATTTGAATGTCAGCAGACAGCAAGAAGCCTCCCAGATCTCCAGATGCATTTGAGATATCAAAAAAGTACTCCAGAGTTTTGTTCAGCATGGGGGTGAGTAGAAAATGAAGGCTAATCATGTTTTGGGTGTACTATTCCTTTAACTGCATTGTTACTTTTTAGGACTTTTACCAACTCAGTTACTGTTACGTTTAACTAGTTAAAGGTATAGTTGAGGATTTTCACGAAATTTTGAAGTTTAAAAAAAATGCACATGCTCAACCCTGCAACTAGGGCTGCAACAACTAATCAATAAAATCGATAAAAATTGACTTTTAAAAGCATTGGCAACAAATTTCATCATCGATTAGTTGTGTCGCGCGATTAATGCGTCATCCGCCGCCGTCGTCATCACTGCCATTTCATTGAAACGCGGGAAGAAAAAAAAATACGGCAGAGCGAGCCAGCGCCGCAGGTGAGCAAAGGCTGTTTTCAAAAGGCAGTAACGTCGACTGTTCTAATGACCGATACCGCAAACCCAAGCTGCGTCTCAATTCGCAGACAGCCTGCGCTTTGTAAAGCGAAAAAAGTCGTAACATGCAACTTTTGTAAAAACAAATCAACATGGCACGGAAGCACCACTGTTATGACGCAGCACCTGAAAAGGAAACGCGTTGGAGCCTTCGATGGCAGTGAAGAGAGCTGATCAGCAGGGTGAGCGACCATGTTTGTTTGGTTTTAAAGTGGGGAAACGTAACGTTAGTTTCTCAGGTAGCTCATCTGATGCTTTCCTTACCGTGTTAGTAGGTTACAGACAGTGATAAGGTTGGCTACTTATTTTACTTTTAATTTCATTTGAATTAGCTTAAGCAGCGTTTATATTTTCGTTATAAATAAATTAACTTGCAAATTATGAAGGCAAGGCTTTTAAAGTTTAAATCTTCTGGCAAAGATAAAGTAAAGAAGATCCTGCAATTTATGGAAGTAAAGCAGAATAAAATCCAGCAAGATCAGTAATATGTCAATTAATTATATGCCACATTCCCATGTAAATATCTGTCTTTGGAGGATGTGTTTTTTAGCACCCCTAGTTCTCTCATTTTTATTCCAAATACAATTTATAATTTGAATCACAGGGCTATTTTTATCTCTATGGTTCAGTATTTTCTCAAGTAGCAACTTTAACTGCTATACTTTCCTGTCTTAAAAGGCAGAACTCTTCTAGTCTAAAAAAAACTCATTTGTTGAAATGGGGGGACCTATTGTTTGAACCCCTCAGGGGCTTTTAAAAACAAAAACGCCTGTCTTTTTTTTGCGCTTTATGAAACAAAGTAGCCTATATTTTGTGGATGTACAGCTACATTTCTCATGTAAGTTTGCGTAGTTTTAACACAAACATTTATTTTTCATATTGCACCAGTACAGTTAATGAGCAACCTGTACTTGTGTGCTTGCTTGTTCTGTCTAAAATGTTTATTTTGGAATAAAGAGGTTAATATAAAAAATATTTTTTGTCCGATTCATCGATTTTTAAAATAATCGTTAGTTGCAGCCCTACCTGCAACACCTATTAAACGCGGGCGAGAGCGTGCACAAGCATATTTTCCTCGTGCACGCTCTGTTTAAAAGTTGCTGTTTGCGTTGCTCATACAAGCTTACTTTCCAGTTTTTCCACTGTCACACTCACCACAAGTAATTGAAAATGGATGAGCACGTAGGACGGCCTTATGTAAACATATCACCAGAATGACTGAAAATTAGGAGGACCACTGATTTTGATGATCCACCTGGAAAAAGAACATCCTCAGCTATACCTTTAAGTAACATTTTCAACACTGTCCATTAGTCTAATGTTAAAAGAGATCAAAAGCTGGTTCCCCTTATTAGTTTTACTCAAAGTTTAAAACTTTGCAAGAACATAATTAAGATGATGAGAAATCTTTTTTTTTATATTTGGTTTTCTTTGGCTGTAATATTGTGTTTTTTTCCATTGCATCAATTATAAAACCCTTCAGTGCTCGTTTGGGCTCGTGTGCTGAGGGCTGCATGCCGAAGCTCGACTACAACTAATTTAAAGGATTATCTTCCTGTAAACAAATCAGCAATGCTTTATGTTGCTTCATCACATCAAAACTTAAATAGTTTGTTGTTTTTAATTGGATGAAATGTTGAAGGCTTTGTGTGATATTAACAATATATTATACAAATAAAGTATTTTCAAATCAGGTATACATGCTGGCAAAGTTTCCCAGTCATCCAGGTCAGACTGATTCCAAAAAAGTAAAAAAACAATCCACTGGACTTTGTTTAAGGACGTTTCTCTTCCCATCCAGCAAGCTTTTTCAATTCAAAATGTCAGAAATAGCGTTAAGTTTTAGGCTCTATGTCGCCTTTAAAGGGGAAGAGAAGACCTTGCCTAATTAGCCAGGCCAACTATTTCCTTTAATGACCCCCCCTTTCAGAGACATAGTGAGACAGAGTATGGGGCATTGCAAGCTAACAAAAGAAGCCAAACGACCCCCATTCCAAAAAGGTGAACCCGTTGGTCTATTTCAATTTGCATGTTTTCTAAACAAAAACAAGGTTTTGATTTGCTACTGTATAAAACCTCGAACTCAACGCAATTTCTGACATTTTGAATTAAAAAAAGCTTCTTGGTTGGGAAGCGAAACATCTTCACACTTGGAAATAAAGTCCAGTGGATTTTTTTTTTTTTTTACTTTTTTGGAATCAGGTATACAATAAAATTGCAACGTTTATCCAGTTTGTGCGTATTATAAATTAAAAAAATTAATAAACCCAGTAAAATATTAAAAGAAAATAGGAATAAGAAAGGTATGAAATGCTAGGGGTGTAAATCACATCCATCATGGCGATTCGATTCAGTATCGATTTGATTATTTTCGATACTCAAGAATACACTACGATACGATTCGATTAATCGGTACATTTTTTTTGTTTGTTTTTTTTACACCTTACAGGCTAGACAATGTTTCCAATTTGAAATAAATCAATGACTGAAAAATAATAATGACCCTGAATTATAGATTCTTAAAGGCCTTGCATCAAAAAATCCTGCACAAAATCAGTGCAATGAGTGCAATTCAATACCTCGGCTCCAGACGTCCCGCCCCCTCCACAGACGCTCCGCTGCTCCTCTCCCAAATTGTAGCTGACTGCAGACAGTGCCGCAGACAGGAGGCCGGCTTGTTTTGTTTTTATGACCGAAATTGTGGAAAACAACTCGTGAAGTTTGACCCGCTAGAAGAGCGAGGTGCGCGAGAACGCTGGGAGCCTTTTTCCACCTGGATCTCCGCACTTTTTGGCCCTCATGTCCCTCCGTCGTCGGACTAAACTCGCCCCCACTTCCTCGCCGCCTCGGCCGTATCTAGACCCACAGCGTGTAGCACAGACCACGTTTCAATATTGAGCATAATTTAAAAATGTCTGTGTCAAGCTCCCTGCAGCAAACTGCTGTAAGAGTATAACCAGGAAGCGAGGTAGGAGGGCAAAATAGGTTTAGCGCCACCGCAGCACGGGAGGAGAATTACACCCAGGAGCAAATGGATAAAAATAGACCGGAGGAAAAAAAAAAAACATGAATCGATTCTCTTGCGGACGTGTCGATGCATCAGATCGTCGGCTGTTGGATCGATGCATCGATACAAAACGATTATTATTTACACCCCTATGAAATGAGATAATGCATATTACATAATTTACCCAGTGCTCTAGCATACACTCTGAGGAGTTCAGGGACCTGAGGCCCAGGGAAAAAACCTTCACCCCGTAGACTCACCAAACGGCAGCTCAAAGCGGGTATCCAGCAGAACCCGATGAGGCGTTGGGTTCTTGGTGCCATAAATCTCATCAGCCTTCATTAAAACCTCTGCATCCAGGAAAATCCACTCTCCAGATCCCTCCTGTTAGCAGACATATTCATTTTATCCAAACCTGAGTGAGTGATGTCACTTATCTCTACGCGGGTTCGTGCTCCAACCTCTTCAGACTGCCGGATGGTCTTCAGAGGAATCCAGGCCGTCCCCACCATGGTGTCCCAGATGAGACCTTTGTCCCAGACCTCGACGATGAGACCGAGGTCCAGCCGGTTGATCTCGCTAAAGAGCAGAATCAGGGAGGAAGATCAGCATGTGATAACAGACAAATACTGTGGTAATTCCTGATGCATAGGGTGGAAAATGTCCCGAATAAAAAGATCAGAAAGCTTTGTTGTTTGGAAAACCATCAAAATAAAAAATAATAAAACACTTTCCAGTCTGGCGTTCAGTTCACTTTTAATGGAGCTGAGATTTCAACATAATTACTGTCAGGATCCAAACACAGCCTCATGACAAAAGGTCCTTTTAGTTATGCTTTAGCCGTCATCATCCACCTCTGCCTTTTTTCATTCAACAGGCCACTCAAAGGGCTCCACAAGTGCTTGATGATGCAAAAGCATGGACATGCATTTAGAAAGGAGCTGCATGACTGGGACATTTGCATACTCTCATCGTGGAAGTTTAGAAAGATCGAGAAAGCAAACAAAAGGAAGATGCGAGAAAAGATAATCAAAGGCTGAGGATAATTGGGAGCGATGGAGAAGAGGACGGAGGGGAGCGTCCAGGGCAGCCAGGTGCAGAGATAAAGGCTCGCTCCCAGTAAATGAGCCCCAATAAATGCATGCAGCACCGTACCATAATTAAACCATGGTTGACTATTAGAAAGAGACTTCTGCTGTTTGAGGCGTTAATATATTCGGTAAACTAGATTTTCACTCATTTACTGGTTTCACCTTTTATTGTAGCTCTGCTCAAAAGAAGCTTCCATTCACTGCAAAGCAGCATTTCAACAAACGGATGGAAGCCAAAACTACTATTTCAATTAAAAATATATTTACTCAGATCAATAATAACAAGACAGCACCTAAAATTAATTCATTTATTTATCATCAGTTATCTAATCTCAGCTAATAAAGCAGTTTACCCTTCAGGTCATAAATCTAGTTTGTGTATATAGATATATATATTTTTTCCTGATATCATGAAACTAATGAAATAAACAAGAGTAATTCCGTTAAGTGCAAATAAAACCCTTCCTTATCCAGAGATTAGAAGCCAAAATTTGAATGAAAATTTAACGTGTCAGGCTTAGTCTTAGGCCAATCAGCATTGCCCGGAAATTGGCTGATTTTCAGGTGATTGGTCACTACCGACAACCTGTCTGTGATTACGGAGACGGTGGAGCTAAGTCTAAAGCAAAAGGAAATCGGTTCGAGAACACCGAGAGAGGGAGAACCAGAACTGGGACCCAGCGGCTAGCCGTGCCCCCCCCCCCCGGCGAGATGCACCGGGACCCCTAATTATATATTTTGTATGAAATTGTGTTCTTCTGCCTCCATCTTCTGCCTCCATTTACCTGTTTATTACAGTGTGTTGAATTCATGTTGATGTGGATTTAAAGAAATTTCAAAAAGTGGAAAAAAATTGCAGGGGGGAATATAAAAAAAATGTAATCAACCAAAACTTTCATGACCCCCATGCAGTATTTCTGTGGATCCCCTAGGGCAACATCCCTGTTGAAGACCTACGGTTTAGAGCTAAATTAAAACAGCTTATTTAAAAGCCAACCACACACCTCTTAAGAGCATTCCCCACTCCATCCTTTGTTATTTTCTCTATATTTCATTTTGATTAAAAAAAGCTGCCTCTTTCACTTCTTTCCCCTGAATTGAGAAGACAGATCCCTTATACAGATACAGAAATTTTAATAGAATCCATTAGGGGTGGAACGGTTCATAAAATCCACGGTTCGGTTCGGTTCACGGTTTCGAGGTCATGGTTTTCGGTTCGGTATATGTTAATTGTTACACCGAAAAATAAAAAAAATTATAAAAATTTATGAAAAATAAAAATTTATGAAATTAATGAAAAAAAATCCCAAAAAATTAATGAATTGTAATTATTTTTAATGATCCGCGGAAACCATGATTCATTTCCACATGTTTTGCTGCTTTGAATTTAATCAACTAGTGCATGCTCTCTACGATCTCCAAGAACTCAGAGCGGAGCGGACGGGAGCCACAGCGGAGGCTGTAGGCTTTGCTTTGTGCAGGCGGTCTGGAGCGCAGCGGAGCGCTGACGGAGTATGTGGGATTTCGGGGTTAGCATGACATGTTGGTCGTGTTGCTGTTAGCATAAACAAAACGTGTTGCACAATGCTTGCACACTTTTGCACTTTTATCCACAACTTTCTTTCCGCCGTCATCGTAGGTCACACTAAATGCAAAGTGCTCCCATACAGCAGACCTATAAAGTGCTGCTGGCGCGTCTTCCAACTCCTGTTCTTTCCCACTCGCCATACCCACACAATTCTCCACAACAACTGATTTTTTTCTGCTACACCCGGCTACGCTGCTTCGCTTCTTCTTCTTGTTTACTACTGGTGGTTGGCTTTGGTCGCAGTACCGCCACCTTCTGCTCTGGAGTGTAAACGCTTCGCCTATGAGAAAAAGGAGCAGCGCATGAACCGAACGAAACACACGCGAACCGAACCGCGACAGTCGAACCGAACGGTTCGGACGGTTTCATAAACCGTTCCATCCCTAAAATATATATATATTTTTTTTTTTCATGAAACTAATGAAATAAACAAGAGTAATTCCGTTAAGTGCGATTAAAAACCTTCCTTATCCAGATTAGAAGCCAAAATTTGAATGAACATTTAACGTGCCAGGCTTAGTCTTAGGCCAATCAGCATTGCCCGGAAATTGGCTGATTTTCAGGTGATTGGTCACTACTGACAACCCGTTGGTGATTACGGAGACGGTGGAGCTAAGTCTAAAGCAAAAGGAAATCGTTTTGAGAACACTGGGAGAGGGAGAAACGGCTAGCCATGACCCCCCACCCCCCCTGGAGCTAAGGAAGCACAGCGGTAGAGGCAGCAGCTGGCCAGTGTCTGTGCTGGAGGTAGAACGAAGAAGCAGTCTATAACAGGGCTCTCCAACATTTTCCAGATCAATGAACCCCAAATTGATGGCAAGATAGAGCACCCCGCTCTATCTTATATATCTTATACATTTTTTATGAAATTGTGTTATATCAAATTGGTCCTATAGTCACTCTATTACATATGTAGTAATGTAACTAAAGTAATTTCTCCCTGGGATTATTAAAGTATTTCTGATTCTGATTCCTGGTTGACGGGACAGGTGTTGTGAATGAAATGGTGCCCAGCTTGAAAGAGCTCCTGTGTGTCGCTGAATGTGTGCATTGATGACTGAAAGACATCTTCTGCCTCCATTTACCTGTTTATTTAATTTTTATTACATTTTAAATTTTATTTTATTTTAAGATATTTCAATTAGTGGAAAAATTTGCAGGGGGAATATAAAAATTTTTTATCAACCAACACTTTCGTGACCCCCATGCAGTATTTCTGTGGATCCCCTAGGGCAACATCCCTGCTGAAGACCTACGGTTTAGAGCTAAATTAAAACAGCTTATTTAAAAGCCAACCACACACCTCTTAAGAGCATTCCCCACTCCATCCTTTGTTATTTTCTCTATATTTCATTTTGATTAAAAAAAGCTGCCTCTCCAAGAACTCAGAGCGGAGCGGACGGGAGCCACAGCGGAGGCTGTAGGCTTTGCTTTGTGCAGGCGGTCTGGAGCGCAGCGGAGCGGAGCGCTGACGGAGTATGTGGGATTTCGGGGTTAGCATGACATGTTGGTCGTGTTGCTGTTAGCATAAACAAAACGTGTTGCACAATGCTTGCACACTTTTGCACTTTTATCCACAACTTTCTTTCCGCCGTCATCGTAGGTCACTCTAAATGCAAAGTGGTCCCATACAGCAGACCTATAAAGTGCTGCTGGCGCGCCTTCCAACTCCTGTTCTTTCCCACTCGCCATACCCACACAATTCTCCACAACAACTGATTTTTTTCTGCTACACCCGGCTACGCTGCTTCACTTCTTCTTCTTGTTTACTACTAGTGGTTGGCATTGGTCGCAGTACCGCCACCTTCTGCTCTGGAGTGTAATCGCTTCCCCTATGAGAAAAAGGAGCAGTGCACGAACCGAACAGAGACAGTCGAACCGAACGGTTCGGACGGTTTTCAAAAACCGTTCCATCCCTGGAATCCATCCATCATCTGTTCTAGGTTGTGTCCCTCTCTTCTTGTCCCTTTTCTTCTTGTTTTCCTCTCTATGTTTTGTACTCAGCTGACTTTTCATGCTGTCTCAAAAGGAATGAAAGATTTTTTTCCAAGCACTAAGCTCACTTAGCTGATTTCTCCTTCCTGTGTTTCCAAAAAGGCGACGGCAAACGTCAAGCCATGATCTGCTCATCTGTTCTCCATTTTTCATTTGGATGAAATAATAGCTGTGAGACACTTAAAATTCTAAGCATTCTGATGGCGTTTTAGTGAAAGGATTTTTATCAAAAACATAATTAATGTGACAAATAAGGAATAGTTGGATTAACCATGTGAACAGAGTTTAAAGGCAACTGTCTAGTATTGCCTAATGGTAAATGCCCCCTGTCCTTAGTAATACAAAGTTAATGTACATAAGACAACATTATTTAAAATCTATGGATCTGATGCTGTGATCAGCAATTGGCGGTGAAAATATTTTCTTAATTCAACAATATTATTGGTTTTGACAGCATCTATTGCAACTGATGGTGCCGAACATTTACTAGAAACCAACATGTGCCTCTGATAGATGCTGAATCACCAAAGGGAGACACATCAGCAAGGAATACAAGGAAAGATGAAGGTCTGGAAAAACAAACACTGCTGCAAAGACAAACAATGACACAAGGCGAACAACATGTTGGCTTTTTCATCACCATGGGGACACTTGGCTGTTGGAAAATTTGGAAATGAAACCAGCGGATCATAAGAAGGAAATGAGCAAGCTAATCTGGACTGTTTAAGGAGAAAGAGTGGCTCTAAATTATAAAAATGGGGGAAACCAGATGGAACATCATTTCAGGTCCTTCTTCCGGCTACCAGAACATTACTTTCCTCAACAGCCTTGCTTTATCTAAACCATAGAATGAGATAAATCAGGCATTTAGTGAAACTTACAACATGAAGTCCTGCTCCCAGCAGGGCTGGTCTCCTCGCACAGTGATGGTTGTGCTTTTAACATTCTGGACCTTCAGCGTCACGTAGGTGTTGAACTTATCTGAAAGAAACAGGAATAGAAAATGGTGAAGGATGGATGATGGATGAAATAATGGTTGGTTGGTTGGTTGGTTGGTTGGTTGGATGGATGGATGGATGGATGGATGGATGGATGGATGGATGGATGGATGGATGGATGGATGGATGGATGGATGGATGGATGGATGGATGGATGGATGGATGGATGGATGGATGGATGGATGGATGGATGGATGGATGGATGGATGGATGGATGGATGGATGAAAGAACGGTGCAATGGTGGATGGATGGATGGATGGATGGATGAATGGATGGACGGATGAAAGAACGGTCCAATGGTGGATGGACGGAAGGATGAAAGAATGGTTGGATGGATGGATGGATGGATGAACAGTTGGATGGATGAATGGATGGACGGATGAAAGAACGGTCCAATGGTGGATGGATGGATGGATGGATGGATGGATGGACGGACGGATGAAAGAACGGTCCAATGGTGGATGGATGGATGGATCGATGGATGAATGGATGGACGGATGAAAGAACGGTCCAATGGTGGATGGAGGGAAGGATGAAAGAATGGTTGGATGGATGGATGGATGGATGGATGGATGAACAGTTGGATGGATGGACGGATGAAAGAACCGTCCAATGGTGGATGGATGGATGGATGAATGGATGGACGGATGAAAGAACGGTCCAATGGTGGATGGATGGATGGATGGATGGATGAATGGATGGACGGATGAAAGAACGGTCCAATGGTGGATGGACGGAAGGATGAAAGAATGGTTGGATGGATGGATGGATGGATGGATGAAAGAACGGTCCAATGGTGGATGGACGGAAGGATGAAAGAATGGTTGGATGGATGGATGGATGGATGGATGGTGGATGGATGAACAGTTGGATGGATGGACGGATGAAAGAACCGTCCAATGGTGGATGGATGGATGGATGGATGAATGGATGGACGGATGAAAGAACGGTCCAATGGTGGATGGACGGAAGGATGAAAGAATGGTTGGATGGATGGATGGATGGATGGATGGTGGATGGATGAACAGTTGGATGGATGGACGGATGAAAGAACCGTCCAATGGTGGATGGATGGATGGATGGATGGATGAATGGATGGACGGATGAAAGAACGGTCCAATGGTGGATGGATGGATGGATGGATGGATGAATGGATGGACGGATGAAAGAACGGTCCAATGATGGATGGATGGATGGATAAATGGATGGACGGATGAAAGAACGGTCCAATGGTGGATGGACGGAAGGATGAAAGAATGGTTGGATGGATGGATGGATGGATGAACAGTTGGATGGATGAATGGATGGACGGATGAAAGAACGGTCCAATGGTGGATGGATGGATGGATGGATGAATGGATGGACGGATGAAAGAACGGTCCAATGGTGGATGGATGGATGGATGGATGGATGGATGAATGGATGGACGGATGAAAGAACGGTCCAATGGTGGATGGATGGATGGATGGATGGATGGATGGATGAATGGATGGACAGATGAAAGAACGGTCCAATGGTGGATGGATGGATGGATGGATGGATGGATGGATGAATGGATGGACGGATGAAAGAACGGTCCAATGGTGGATGGACGGAAGGATGAAAGAATGGTTGGATGGATGGATGGATGGATGGATGGATGGATGGTGGATGGATGAACAGTTGGATGGATGGACGGATGAAACAACCGTCCAATGGTGGATGGATGGATGGATAATTTCCTGCTGATAACAGAGAGAACAGTTGTCTCTGCCTTCCAGGCAGCCACAAAATATTGATCTCTGCATCTTTAATCTGTTGCATGAAACAAACGTTACATCATGAGGCTTCAGCTCACTTGATTAAAACATCCTCAGCAACAGTTTCAAGGTAAAACTTGGCTGAACTAAAGAAAGTGGGCTGTTGAATCTGCTGTGGATTAGTCTGGTGGCAAAGGATCAGTAGCTCCAGTGAAAGCAGATAAATCTCCTCTTAAGTATGCCAAGCTGAGCCAAGCCGAGCCAGGACAGCACAGTGACCCTGTTAATCTCCAAAGTGAGCCATCCTCATATGTCACACCACATCCAACTCTCGGCCTCCAAATGCTTCATATGCATCTCCTGCACACTCAGATCCACTTTCTCTTAACAGAGAGGATAAACACACAGTTGGCGAGGTTGCAGGCCCGTTTCCTGGTGACGTAATAAAGCCAGAGTCTCGTTTGACCTGTTGATGCTGCTGAAAAAGGTCTCCGTCAGTCCTGATACCAATCAGGGCCCCAAAACATGGAAATTCACTTGAGTCAAAGGGGACAGTTCAAATAATCTGTCTGAATGGATCCATTTCAGAGTGCAATTCAAAGAGTATTTCACAGCCCTTCATAAATGATGAGTTCAGACTCCAAACGCTGACTGATCAGCTGGTCTTGTATCTATTTACACACCCAGAGGTGTCTGTCAGCCTGCTGTCATCCAGCAGTGATGGACATAGAAGCCACAGCAGATGCTTGGCTTTTCATTTCCTGCAGCAGGGCGAGGAAAGCAGCAACACGTGTCTGCTGGAGTGCTTTAGTTACGCTCCGAATCCTTCCAGTTACGCACGCACGGCCGGCGGTCATTTCCTGCTACTCTGCGCTCTGACAGTAAACATGTGGCCGCCTCCATACGGACGCAGGAGGGGCCGATAACTGAACAGGGGTGTAAGATGACTCGGTGTGTTCTGCACCTCGTCATCTTTTCTAGATTTTCTCATTTACCACCATGAAGGTTTATAAGAATAATACTCAATGAATTTAACAACCTTTTTTAAAAAAGGTTATTTAACCCGATAATGGGTTCTAGACAGGGGCCAACAAGGACCTGTACTAAGGACACAGAGTATACACACAGCATGGATATTTTCCCATGCTGCTAAATCTGTTTAATATGGAGGACCAACTCTGCCATAGAAATAAGTGAAAATGTTCTGAAATTAAGTGTATTTACCCTTAATTTAAGTAGGTAAATGAGACTGTTTGCCAATGGAATAAGTATTTTTACTCCTAAAATAAAATAATTAGATAACATACACTTGAAATAAGACAATGCAATTGTGTTTTCTTATTTTAAGTGTAATTTTTCTTTTTCCATTGGGAAGATGTCTCTTTTATCTCCTCAATCCAAGAACAAATGCACTTATTTTAAGAAAAAATTACTTTTAGAGTTTTCGACTTTTTCCAGTGCATCTACCGGGACGTGGCAGATGTACAGAGAAGTTCAAACCCCACCAACACCTTCTTTCTCTGCAAATCTCACAATTCTAAACTTCAACCATAAAATGGGCCAATTCAAACTAAGCCTCAAATTGACGTCAGTTCGGGGATGTTGCCTTATTTGGTTCTGGCCTTTGTCACGCCCCGAAATTGACATACAGACCAGCCCACTGGTTCACTGGCCCAAGAACATGAATAGAGGTAGATGAAAGACAACAGTTTAGCTGTTTAGCCTACAGTTGGATTTACTTCTACAAGAATTACAAAGCAGGCAGTTTCTCTAATGAAAATGAGCCAGAACCACGGGAATAAATGCAGTGTTCCAGGCTGCATGGAGAAAGGGGAAATTTTCAGTCTTCCCAAGGATCCATAGACTCTACAGGCATGGCTTATTTTTGTCTACCAGAAGATCCCTGCAAAGTTTGATGCTCAGCTGTTCATTTGCTCGAAGCATTTTACAGCAAACAGCTTTCAAAATCCTTGACAGCTCAAAGCAGGATCTGCTAAACTTGTTTAACTGAAATGAAAGGCTAATCTGACCATAAGGCCATCACAAACACAAGCAGGAAGTATTACTCCGTTGCTTAGCTGTTGATAGCATACTAGCATATCTATGGTGACAAGATTTGGGTTTCTGAAAAGTGGGAGGGTCTGCTGGGTATTCAAACCGAACAATCAGCCCCGGGGCTGGTCCGAACCCGACACGGTGACGGTATGCTTCCGGGGGGCCGCCATTGTCCAGGCTACCATCACCAGGTCGGGTTCGGTCCCTCAGTCCCCCGCTGGCTCCTTGCACCGGACCAGCCGCGAAGCTCACAGCTTGGTTCTGCTGCACTGTAGTCGACCAAAATCCCAGACGATTTTGAAATTGCCCCCGGACATTTTTTTAGGTATGAAAAGTAGGACATGTCCGGGAAAAGGAGGACGTCTGCTCACCCTACCATATAGACAAACTCAATGTTTCAGTCAGTGAGTGCTTGTTGCTATGATGCGTCTTTGCTCTGCAGTGTCGCTTGTTGTAAACCAACCAATCAGTGCACAGCTCATCTAAATATTTATGAGCATACCATAAAAGGAAGAAAACCTGTCTTTTCCTTCTGGGGCTTTTAACCAGGCTGCATTAGGGCTCATAGAACAGCAATTATGCCATTTTCAGCCCAACCAATGTTACACACCCTATTCAGGGACCTTAAGGGCGCCAAATACCCTATAGAATCATTCTATGACCCCTTTAAAGCAGATTTTTCTCAGACATTAAGTGTCCAGATTTATCTGAAATGAATTTATTGATGGATGGCATTCTTGCACTTATGGTCCAAGCAAAATTAAAATCCATAAACTCTGACCTTAGCATGTTGGTGCCTACAAAACATTAGCCAATCCACGTTAACTACTGTTGAAAGTGGATTGGCTACTTGTTTGTCAATCCAACATTTTGCGTATGTGACGCCATAATATCCCGCTATAACGCAGAAGAAGTAATCCTACGCTTGTTTGCTGCTGCAGCATTTTTGAGCCATTCATTCATTCTTGAGTAAACTGGTGCATCAATGGCCGAAAACAATCCTGACAAACCTAACCAGAAAAGAAAGCTTTTTTTGAAAGCTATGGTAGGTAGCAAGTTGGTTAGCATTAGCCATAAGGATTGAGCTTTTTTGATGGTAAAAACTGACTTTATGTGGCAATTTTCTCATCATGGAATGTTTTTATTTGCTAATATGCTGGATTACTTTTTATCCCTAGACCCTTTCAG